GAAACAAAAATAAAAATAAACAAGTGGGACTTCATCAGACTAAAGAGCTTCTGCAAGGCAAAGGAAACCATGAACAAAATGAAAAGACAACCCACCAACAGGGAGAAAATATTTGCAAATCATATATCCGACAAGCGGTTAATTTCCAAAAAATATAAAGAACTCACACAACTCAACAACAAAAAAACCAAACAACCCAATCAAAAAATGGGCAGAAGATATGAACAGAAATTTTTCCAAAGAAGATATACAGATGGCCAACAGACACATGAAATGATGTTCAACATCGCTAATTATTAGGGAAATGCAAATGAAAACTACAATGAGATATCACCTTATACCCTTTGGAATGGCTATAATTAACAAGACAAAAAATAAATGTTGGAGATGATGTGGATAAAAGGGAACTCTCATGCACTGCTGGTGAGAATGCAAACTGGTGCAGCCACTATGGAAAACAGTATGGAGATTTCTCAAAAAATTAAAAATAAAAATACTCTATGACCCAGCTATCCCACTATTGGGTATTTATCCAAAGAACTTGAAATCAACAATTCAAAGAGACTTATGCACCCCTATATTCATGGCAACATTGTTCACAATAGCCAAGACATGGAAGCAACCCAAGTGCCCACCAACCGATGAATGGATAAAGAAGATGTGGTGTGTATATATATATATATATATATATATATAACGGAATACTACTCAGCTTAAAAAAAACACAAAAATTGTCCCATTCGCAACAACAGGGATGGACCTTGAGGGTATTATGTTAAGCAAAGTAAGCCAGACAGAGAAAGACAACACCATATGATTTTGCTCATATGTGGAAGATAAACTAACACATGAACAAAGAGAACTGATTAGTGGTTACCAGAGGGGAAGGAGGTTGGGCGGTGGGCATAAGGGGTAAAGGGGCACATTTATGTGGTGACTGACAAATAATAATGCACAACTGAAATTTCACAATGTTATAAACTACTTTGACCTCAATTAAAAAAAAAGCTGTAAAAGGGGGAACCCTCCCCCCCAAAACACTGAGATACCACTACACACCTATTAGAATGGCCAAAATCCAGAAGACTGACACCGCCAAGTGCTGACAAGAATGTAGAGCAATAGGAATTCTCATTCACTGCTTGTGGGAATGCAAAAATGGTCCAACCATTTTGCAAGACAGTTTGGTGATTTCTTACAAAACTAAACATCTTCTTACCATACAATCCAGCAATCACATTCCTTAGTATTACCCAAAGGAATTGAAAATTTATGTCCACACAAAAGCCTGCACATGGATGTTTACTGTAGCTTTATTCATAACTGCCAAAACTTGGAAGCAACCAAATGTTCTTCAGTAGATGAATGGATAAATAAACCGTAGTATAGCCAGTATTTTATTCAGTCCTAAAAAGAATGAACTATCAAGCCATGAAAAGAGACAGAAGAAATTTAAATGCATATAAGGTGAATCTGAAAAGGCTACATACTGTCTGATTTCACCTATATGACATTCTGGAAAAAAAATTATAGAGGCAGTAAAAAGATCAGTGGTTGCCAGGGGTTGGAAGGTGGGAGGGATGAACAGGCAGAGCACAGAGGATTTTTAGGGCAGTGAAACTATTCTGTTTGATACTACAATGGTGAATACATGTCATTATACATTTGTCAAAACCCATAGAATGTACAATACCAAGAGAGAACCCTAATGTAAACTATGGACTTTAGGTGATAATGCTATTTCAAAGTCAGTTCATCAACTGAAACAAATGTACTACTCTGGTGGGGATGTTGATAGTGGAGAAGGCTATGTATGTGTGGGGGTAGGAGGTATTTGGGAAATCTCTGTACCTCTGGCTGAATTTTGCTTTGAACCTAAAAAAATAGTCTACTAAAAAATTCAGAAGATAAAAAAGAGCTCTTCATAGCAGATGCAAATATCCAAGAGTGAGGAAGTAGAGTATAAGCATCTCCTAAACGTATGTGACCAAAGTTCCTGAATGTATGTAAAATCCTTTTACACAGAGAATTTTGCAGGACTGGTTTTCCACCAAACACCCTTTGGAAAATGCCACTAGAGTAATAAATAATGATACTTTTAAGAGTAAGATGTCAGAAACAAAAAACTCGATACAAAGTTTGGAAGATATAGTTGAGGAAAAGTTGAGCAAAAAGACAAAGAGAATAGGGATAAGAATAAAGAGGGTTGAGAATATTAGAGGATGAGTTCAAGAGGTTCAACATCTGAATAACTTGCATTCCAGAAAGAGTGAAGAGAGATAAAGAAATGGGGAGAAATCACTGATGAAAGAATTAAAGAAAATTTCAAGAAACTAAAGAATGGAATAGGCACACTAAGTTAAGCGTCTAACATGTGAGGTAAAATATTCACATCCTACGTGAAATTTCAGAATATTGGGGATGAATAGAAGCTTCAAAGAGAATAAACAGGTTTCATACAAAACTAAAGATGTAAATCTAAGAAAGATTTACATGGGAAAACAAAGACATGGTTAGGAGCAAACTGGGGATAACACAACAGAGAGGTGAAGAGCATGCCAAGGAACTCAGAAGGCTCCAGGAGAGATTTCTCAGAGTTTGAAATGGATAGAATATATAATGTGCTTGAACATAAACAGAGATGTATACAGTAGTAAGAGTAAGTTTAAGGTGGAATTAATAATAAGTACATAGCAAAATAAACCCATAATGAAGTAATAAACAAGACTGACTCTGAAAACAAAATGTGCAACAAAGGAAAAGGAATCATAGTACACTACATGGCTCAATTGACTACAGCATTTAACAAGTTACAACAACACAATACAGAATTTCAATCTAATAAAAATTATAATATCATGGTATTAAGATAGGGAAGTACGTGAGGTGGGTAAGCAGCAAGGAGACTAAAAAGAGTTAAATCCTCCTCTTCTAAAGTGGGTTGTCAGTTGAAAAATGCCTAAAGCTAGAAAAAATAGCAATATAAACATGCCATTTACATTTACGGAGGTAAACAAAAGAATCAGCTGAGTTAAAAGTGATTGTCTTGGGTGAGAAGTAAATGACAGGAATAGGAGAGTCTGTTTTTGTAATAATTCTTGTAGACCTATTGTTCTTTTAAACTATGAGCATGTATATAACTGATAAATATAACAAATAACTCTCAAAAAGTGTTGTGCAGTTAAAAAAATTAAAGGTAATGAAGGATACAGTGGGGCACACAGCTTTCAATCTATGATAGCTTTTACTGTTAACATTTGAAGGGACTATAAAGGTAATCTGGACTAATCCTGTTCATTGTATAGGTGTGGAAACATGCTCAGAGGGAAGTAATGTCAAGGTCACAGAGAATGATCCAAGGCCCAATCAGAGGATGGTGACACAGTAATAGTCAAGACTGCTATAGCCTGGCCAAGAGCAAGAAACAGGGATACAAAGCAAGTTCCCACTTTTCCTAGGCTATGAGACCAGGCAAAGGGAGGGATGCCAGCTCACTAGCTGCCAGAAGAGACGGTCTGCATCATTTAAATGGAACAAGGAGGTATAGTCATGAAGCTCCCACTGCTGTGGGTCTTCTAGGTATTAATGGAAAAGGCACCCAGGCCCCTAAGTGGTATCTAGAATGATATGGTATACAGGCATCTATGGGGCATGTCATAAGGCTGGAAAATATAATCAATATTTTCACCAAGGTGTTCATCTGCCCTTACCTCCTCATCCCTGGAGCTTAGGGGCAAAGGCCACTGTTCACTAATCTAATGACACTCTTGGACTAAGCAAACCAGTAATTGGCTAGGGCTAGATGCAGATGATATACTTGGAGAAATCATGTGATAGGACTCTGACCAGAGCCAGACATCAATGCCACAGGCAGGTTCTATCATCTTCCAAAGGTTACTTAGGCCTTCCCTTCAAGCTCTAATATTCTAGGATTTGGGCAGAGACACATTCAACTCCTTCTGAGAAAAAGACTATCCCAACTTCCATGGGGATCATTCCAATTGCTCAGGCTTCCCTAAAGAAGATGGAATATCTGCAGAGTAACAAGAGCAAGGTTTCACATACGTATCTTTTTTTTTTTTTTTTTTTTTGTGAGAAAGATTAGCCCTGAGCTAACATCCGATGCCAATCCTCCTCTTTTTGCTGAGGAAGATTGGCCCTGGGCTAACATACGTGCCCATCTTCCTCTATTTTATATGGGATGCCGCCACAGTATGGCTTGACAAGTGGTGCGTCAGTGCGCGCCCAGGATCCGAACCTGCGAACCCCGGGCTGCCGAAGCGGAGCGTGTGCACTTAACCGCCATGCTACCGGGCCAGCCCCTCACATATGTATCTTAATTTACACATAAAAAATGAATATTGTTCTTTATAGTTACCCTATTGGGAGGCTGTATATCTACCCTAAAGGGCTAGCTCTCTTAGAGTTACCTTCATAGATAGTTTATGAAATGGGAATAGATATGCGTAACCCAGGTTAATTACCCACCCAAACTTCAGCCACCAGATTTTGTTTTTGAATCATTCATTGACTGGCTCCAAAATTAAGTTCACTCTCATAGTACCTAAGTTTGCCACCATCGGTGATGTTAAAAAAAAAAGTCACAGCAGTTTCAGACATATTTGAGTGGTGGCAGGATTATTGTAATGCTGAAAGAGTTCTGGAAGGCACCACTAATAATGGACCATCCCAAACTGGAAAGGATGAGTATTATTACAAGCTGGGCCAGGGAGCTCCTGGTGCTGGCCCCACTTCCACCCCACTCCCATGCCCCAGGCTTCCCAACTCTGAGTTCACAGAACATCTACCCAAGTTTCATTGATTGTTTTGACAGGACAAAGGTTTCTCTGTAACTATTTCAAATGCCAAAGATAAAAAATTTTTTAAAAAGATTCTATTTAGTTTTACAAATAGACAAGGGGCTAATGGTGCATGACAAGAGAAAGTACAGACACTGGGGCTTGGGGTTTGTTGCAGCTAGTACTATGATCTGCTCTTACCTGTGGGGGCCTGCATGGCTGAGCTGGGGATGGTGGCAGCATCTTGGGGTACAGTGCTGGTATCCGGTTCAGGGGTGATGGTTGTTGGTGAGGTGGGTGGTGGGTTCAGCAAAGTCCGAGGTTTCCTCTGTTAAAATGGATGGGGAGAAGTTTGCTACCCATGACAGGTAACTTGTCTTCTCAATGCTCTATTCCTAGTACTTAATTCACCCATGAAACTGAAATACATTTGTGGATGGCATTGTGTCTTGCCCAAAGCTGTACATACAGTAGATGCATAGTAAATATTTTCTGAATCTATGTACAAGATTCTGGGCTTCTGTAGAGCCAGAGCTTAATTCACTATCTTTTATACTATATTGAATGTCATCATTTGAAGTTCCAGGTTCTTTATTAGCTGGGCAGAAAAAGGAAAAAAAGGAAAAAAAAAATGTGGCTTAAGTCTACTTTGACATATTGTACTTTATTTCTCTCTCTTGGAAAGTGGAAATGTCCCTTCCTCTAACTCTATAGTACTTTCCTCTGCCTACCTCTTCAGCTTATTACCTGCAGTTTCTTATCTTAAACCATATACTCTAGTAATCTCTAACTATATTACTTCTCTAAAAATCCTGTGGTTTTACCTGGTCCATGCCTTCACAATAATAAACCGTCCCTTCTGCCTGGAATGCCCTTTCCTTTTTGACTTTACAAATATCTGTTTATCCAGGGAGCTCTTCTAGATTTCCTCTAGTTACTGTCTCTTTTGTGCCATCTCTGTACTTTGCATTGTTGCATTTGTCACAGTGTATTGTCATTATATATTTACATACTGGTGTCCCCTATTAGCCTGGTGCACCTTGAGGGTCTGATTCTGAGTACCATTCCTAGCATGGTACTTGGCATATAATAAGTGTCAATAAATGTTTTTCAATGAAGCATACAGTATAGAATATCACTAATGGGGGAAGTAATAAAAATAATTTGAGAGAAATCTAATATCTTCTCTATGCTATTCAGGGCAGTCTCTAGGGGAGAAAGATCTTAGAAGGTTCTTTCCAAGAAATAGTTTTCTAAAAGCTTTTCTGAATGCAAAGAAAACATAACCATCACTGAGATCCAGAAATCCCTTTTTACTAAATGTCCCATGTAGGGTCCACTGCTGGGAGCTGTATAAACCTGTCTGCCTTCTAGGAATATATTATCTAAAGCGATAGCAACAATGACAGCAGGCATATATAAAATGGCCTTGTCTGTGAAAGTAATCATGCAAATACTTATGAAACATTCAAAACACACATGGGACATGGACATCTCCTCATATTTTTTGATATTGCTAAAAATAAAAATCCAAATAAGCAATGAGTCAGGGAAGAAAGGAAACACCAGTTCAAATTTACTGAGTTGGTGGTAGGATTTCATGAGGTCCCTGAAGGAACAAGCCTGGTGAGTTAGATGCCTAGATATTGTAGAAGAAAACAGAAGGATGGAAGGCATTATTACTATTTGAGATAGGTGCATTTTCATGTATTATATCTATTCATATATAACCTCATCTCCATTTTATTGGTGAGAAAACTGGGGCTCAGAGCCTTACTCAAAGAAGCTTTTCCAAAGTCACACAGGTGGTCACAAATGGAGATGAGATATAAACCTAAGTTCGTGTGGCTTCAAAGCCTATTCTTGAGTCACAAGACCACTCTGCTTCATAAAGGAACATAAGGGTCATGGGTTAAGAGGAAGGCATATACACTTATAGGAGTTGGCAAAAGGACAGGAAAGGAGTTAGGGAGTCAAATGCCAGGCCATAAAATACAGGATAAGATGAGAATTATTGTTTTTAAGAGGGTTGGAAAGAAAGAGGACTTTGGCTACTATGTTTAGGACTGCCTGAGGAAGCAGAGCAGAGGCTACCATAGAATCATAGTTTTTAGGTTTTTTTTTTTTTTTTTTTAAAGATTTTATTTATTTACTTTTCCCCCAAAGCCCCAGTACATAGTTGTCTGTCATAGCTGCACATCCTTCTAGTTGCTGTATGTGGGACGCGGCCTAGCATGGCTGGAGGAGTGGTGCCTCGGTGCGCACCCGGGATCCGAACCCGGGCCGCCGGCAGCGGAGCGCACGCACTTCACCGCTAAGCCACGGGGCCGGCCCGGTTTTTAGGTTTTGAAGGCCATTTAATCCAACCATCCGTCCAATACTTCTACTTCCCTCTCCCTGAAAACACCCCTCCCATATGGTCATTCAGTCCCTGATGAAATACCTCTAGTGATGGGAGATTACTACTTCCATTTTGGGATAGATTTAACTGTTCATTTTATGTCAAGACGAAGTTTGTCTGCTTGAGTGTCTGTTTTTTGGTTCTGGTTCTGTCTTTGGAACCTCACAGACAAGTTTTCTCCCTCTTTAATCTGACTGTCCTCAAGCTGTCTTCACATCATCAAAAGCATGGCTTCTCTGGTCTTGGAATCTTTAGTGCCTTCAGCTTCTCCTCCACAACATGAGAATGAGAAGAGAGTAATGGAGACAAAAATGAATCAGGCCCTGGGTTAGGGGTTAGTGGTAACAGATTATGTGTTACACAGAAAGATCAGGATGTGACATTGAGAATTCAAAGCCAATAAATAAGAGACAATCTCAATTAGAACATGATCACTAAAATCATCCATCCATCCATTCTGCATATACTAAAGATCTCCCAAGAGACTGAGATATAAGACACTGCAGGAGAAAAAGAGAAGAAAAAGATTAGGTTCTTGAGCTTGAGGAGCTTATATTCTAGAAGGACTGAAGTCAGCTGGAGCTAATAAACAAAAGAAAACCAACCAACCAATCAACAAAACCTAGGAAAGAACTTATAAGATTGGAATGCCCAGGGAGAACTGGGTATCATTTCCACAGCAGAACTCTGGTAGTCCAGTTCAGGAGGGAGCTGCAGGGAAATCTGACAGGAAGTGAGTGGAGAAGCTGATGCCAAACGAAGCCCTAGAGAAGCAGCTGAGGAACTTTCATATCGACGGTTTCCCTAGGGAAGATCTGCATGAAGAACTGGTCACGACTAAAAGGCAATACTTTCAGTAACAGTGCTCAGTGAAGCTCGACTCAGCAGTCTTTTCCTACGCTGGAGTAAGTGTTATCTCCCTTAGGAAATGTGAGGGAGTGACTATGTGGTAGGGCAGCAGTGATGTTGGGAACTAGAAGATCTGGGGACCCATCTTTGTAGCTGGTGCCATTTATTAGCTATGTGACCTTAGGGAAGCCATTTCATATCTCTAAGTCTCAATTCACTTAACTATTAAATAACATTAACATTACTCATCTCCTAGGGTTTTGTAAAGATCATGTGATATGTATGTAATGGTGTCTGACACAGAGCCTGATACTTAGTAGGTATTTAATAATTTTCTTTTTTTTTTTAAGAAAGGGAAGGGATAGAAAAATAAATACATTTACAGAGTCAATTTGGTCTTTCTGTTCATATGCCTGGGCATCTACTCTGAGTAGCTTAATAATTAGCAGCAGGGCCTTCCATCTATGGAAGATATTAGACCAGAATTCCCTCAAATGTGAATAACTTTCAAAGTCAAAATTTGTTTCTTATTCACACCATCCTATCTCTAATATTACCAACTACCAGCTAAGTAGCTAAGTAGAGATAACAATCTAGGAGATTCCTCTGAAAAGCACATACAAGGTGGAGAATAGGGCCAGACATGCCCCTTTTCAAGATGGATGGATATGCATGGGTTACCCCTTTATAGCCCTTTATCCCTTTCTGGGAAACCCACATTTTTACCTACCTTACTGCCAGGTTTGGGACCCCTCTTCTTTGGGAATTTCAAAGGTTCAGCTGACTTGGATGGGGTAGAGATGGGATGGGGAATTAGGGGCTTGGGTGTCCGGCCCCGCTTCTTTCCTGGTTTACGCCCCCTCTGCCCTGGTTGATGCTCCAAGACAGTTTTGGTGCTGCTGTGGATGCTGGGCTTCTCAGTGTTCACATCAGATGCAGGATAGGGATTCTTTGGAATCACAACTGCAAGAAAAAGACTCATTCTATCACCCTCTCCTCTCACCTGCATTCCCCTCCCAGCCAGAGGGAAAAAAAGACTTGCTACTTCTGCTTGGGTAGTTTTATCTCAAGAAGTTAGTTTCCTGGCATCTGACCTAAATGTCAGAAAATCTCAGAGGAGAATTGAATTTAGATTGGCTAGAACTGGAAGTTTTAATTATCTCTGGCAAATGCAGAAAAAATATTAAATTTTTCTCCCCAAGGCATCTAGCTAAAGCATATAAACAGAACCATAGGCTCAGAGATGGAATGGCTCTTAGAAGCCTACATCTTCTTCTGCTAAGAATGAAGCTCTGAGGCTCAGAAGAAGAAATGATGCCTTGTCCAGGTTGCACAGTGAGTTGGGATAGGACTTATGTTTTCAAACTGGGTCCTGACAACCAAGTCAGGGATTTTCCATATCAAGCTACTTATGGTTTTAGTATGATTTCTGCAGTGAGGAGTAGCAAAACACATGGAAACATATACATCTGATAGTATCTCTCCTTACCTTAGAAATCTTAGCTCCACATTACCTTGAAGGTAAAGTCCAAATTCTTTATCCTGCTAGATACAAGGACTTTTGTGACTTTGCCCCTGCCTTGCTCTCCAGTTATATCTGATGTCATTTCCTGACACCCACCCCCATGTTCTAGCCTCACTGTTTTCTGCATACCAATTCATTCATATATGTTGAGATTTCTATTTTTCTTGGTTAGACGTACATGAATACTCAGTTTTCAACACTCAGCTCCAGGGCTACCTCCTTATCGAGGCCTTGTCTGACTACACCCCAGCCAAGGCAGTACCCCTGCCCCGACCAAAGCATTCTGTAGACATTCATGTTAGAGTACTTTCAATTTTACTCCACTCATTCATCTTCTTAAATTGAGAATTCTTCAAGGTAAGGGATTTGTAATTCAATCCACAAATAGTTATTGAGCACTTACTACAGGTTCTACACTGTTCTAAGCCCTGGGGATAGAAGAGTGAACAAAACAGACATAGTTTACACTCTCATGGAGCTTACCTCCTAGTGGGGAGACAAAAAATAGACAAATAAACATACAATATAATGTTAAGTACTATGACTAAAACTAAAGCAAAGTAAGAAGATAGGGGGCAAGGAAAGTCTTCTTTAAGGAGGTGACATTTGCACAGAGCTCCCAAATGAAATAAAGGCAAAGCCTTATGAAGATCTGAGGAAAGAACCTTCCAAGTAGAGGGTATACAACAAGTACAAAGATTCTGAGATGGGCACATGTTAGCGTGTTTGAGAAACAGAAAAGAGGTCAGTAAGGCTGGAACTGAGTGAGCAAAGGGGAGACTGGAGGGAGATTAGGTTAGAAAGGGAGTAGCAATAAGATCATGTAGGACTTTGTAAACTGTGAAAATGAATCTGAACTTACTCTAAGTATAAAGGGAGGCCACTGAAGGGTTTTGAGCAGAGGAGTGACAGGATATACTTAAAAGGAACACTCTGGCTGCTCTGGGAAGAGAAGGGGCAAGAGCAGAACTAGGGAGACTAGTTAATAAACTAATTACAGTGGGCAGGTAGAAGATAAGGTTTCTTATGTTTTCAGGTAGGATGTAATAGATTATGGCAGTGCAATGTTGCTGATGCAACAACTAGAAAAAGTCAGATAAATTATTTTAAAAAATACTGCAGTGTTGTAGAAATCAAGAGGATTAGATGAACAGGAATTTCCAGATCTGGGTGGGGATGGCTTCTGAGGTAGCTGACACTGTTTTCTTTTCTGAGGGTATTTGCCAACTTTGGGCATTAACTAGGATCAGGCTTGGCCTGTGCAGAGGAGCTCTACTGGAGAAAAGAGAAATCAGAGAGACTGTTGTAATAGATTGGAACTTGAGGAGCTCCATTCGTGTGGCCAGTTTTCCCTATTCGACATCTTCTGAGTTCTGAGCCTGTGCACTGGAGTCATAAAGCTAGGCTGAGAGCTTCCAAAAGGCAGAATGAAATCTTGCATAATGTCGCGATTTTAGAAGACAAGATTGCACTAGAAGGAGGAGGTCTACCTCAAACACATAGCTGATCTCCTCTTCAAGATAAATGCCATATGTTGAATTGTAAGGAGTGAGAGGTCAAAGAACTAAGCCCTAAACCTCTCAAGGGTAGGACAATCTCTTGCAGTATTTCAGGACTGAGTAGATGGAGACCTATTAGGTTCTCAATCAAAAAGCCCAAGAGGACAATCAAAATGTCCAAGGAACAGGGATAAACCATAGGTACAATCCAGACCTAGACTAGCTCAATCCATGAAGGGATCAGGCCCTTATTCTACTAGCCTAACAGAGGAAAGGAAGAATTCTTTCTGATGGAAGATATCAGCTGAAGACTCTAATAGTTCTTTTATATAATATATCCAGTATATCATAAAAAATATTAGATATAAAAAAAGGCAGAACAATGTGATTGGCAATCAAGAGAAAATACAGACAATAATAGAAGGAGATTCATATATGCTCCAGATAACGAAAAAAAAACTTTAAAATAACCATAATTAATATGTTAAAGAAAGTAGAGGAAAAGATTAATAAAATGTAAGAAAAGATAAATAATACCCACAGAAAACTGGAATCTATATAAAAAATTATATGGATGTCCTAGAATAAAAAATATAATATTAGAAATGAAGAACTCATTGGATGGATTTAAGGGCAGACAAGATTCAGCAGAAGAAAGCATTAATGAACTTGAAGAAAAATCAACGGAAAACATCCAAAGTGAAGCAAAAATATGGAGAAAACAGATTAGAGCATTAGATACATGTGGACATAGTCAATAGATCCAAAATATGAGTAACTATAATCCCAGAGAGAGAAGACAGAGAGAATGAGGCAAAAGTAATATTTGAAAACTAATGAAAGAGCTTAGAAATCCACAAGCAGCAAAAATAAAAAAAAAATCTGCAAAACTATACCAAGAAACATCACTGTTAAACTGCTAAAAATAAAAGGCAGATAAAATACAAATGAAATGAAAGACAGAGATAAAGTTGGTTTGTTTTCGTGAGGAAGATTAGCCCTGAGCTAACATCTATTGCCAATCCTCCTCTTTTCGCTGAGGAAGATTGGCCCTGGGCTAACATCCGTGCCCATCTTCCTCTACTTTATATGGGATGCCGCCACAGCATGGCTTGACAAGTGGTGCGTCAGTCCCTGCCCGGGATCTGAACCTGTGAACCCTGGGCCGCCACAGCGGAGTGTGCGAACTTCACCACTACACCACTGGGCAAGCCCCCAGAGATAAATTTTTAAAAGCAGTCAGAAGAAAAAAGAAGCATTACTTTTACAGAAGCAACAACAAGACTTATGGCTGACTTTTTAATAGAAACCATGGAAGCCAGAAGCCATAGGATGATATCTTTAAAGGGCTAAAATATATAAACTGCCAACCTAGAGTTCTATACTCAGTGAAAATATCCTTCAAAAATGAAGGTGAATAATATTTTCAGACAAATCACAGCTGAGAGAATTTGTCACCAACAGACCTAAACTACAGGAAATAAAAAGGAAGTTCTTCAGGCTGAAGGAAAGTAATCCCAAACGGAATGATAGAACTGCAGAAAGGAATGAAGAGCATAAGAAAGGGTAAATATGTGGGTAGATACAAAATAATATTGACAATTTAGAACAAGAATTAAAAAATGGCTTGTAGGGTTTATAACATATGTGTTAGTAAATCATATGAAGCAATTGCACAAAGGATGGAAGGGGGGATAAACAGAGCCAAATTTTGTTAAGAATTTTATATTATTTGGTGGATTGGTTAGAGCACTTATTTAAGGTAGGCTTTAATAAACCCAGGATGCACATTTGCATAGGGTAACTAACTGAAGAATTATATGAGAATGTATCACTAAAAGCTAAGAAGAGAGAAATGAAATAATAAAACATACATGATTAGTCCAAAAGAAGGCAAGAAAGGAAGAATAAAGAAATGCAGAAGAACTCAAAGAGAAAACAAAAAGCAAAATACAAAATGGTGGACAAACTCAAATAAATAACTACAATAAATACAAGTGAATTAAGTAAAACAATTAACAGGAAAAAATTAAAATACTGGACCCAATTATATCTGTTTATAAGAGGGCCCTGCAATACACTATTTGACATTGATCTTAGCAGCATCTTTTCAAATACCATGTCTGACCAGGCAAGGGAAACAAAAGAAAAAGTTAACAAATGGGACTACATCAGACTAAAAAGCTTCTGCAAAGCAAAGGAAACCAAGAACAAAATGAAAAGACAACCCACCAACTGTGAGAAAATATTTGCAAATCACTTATCAAAAAGGGGTTGATCTCCAAAATATATAAAGAACTCATACAACTCAACAACACGAAAACAAACAACCCAATCAAAATATGGGCAGAGGATATGAACAGGCATTTTTCCAAAGAAGATATACAGATGGCCAACAGACACATGAAATGATGTTCAGCATCACTAATTATTAGGGAAATGCAAATCAAAACAACAGTGAGATATCACGTGACACTGGTCAGAATGACCATGATTACCAAGATAAAAAATAACAAATGTTGGAGAGGATGTGGAAAAAAGGGAACCTTCATGCGTTACTGGTGGGAATGCAAACTGGTGCAGCCACTATGGAAAACAGTATGGAGATTCCTCAAAAAATTAAAAATAGAAATACCATATGATCCAGTGATCCCACTACTGGGCATTTATCCAAAAAACTTGAAATCAATGATCCAAAGAGATTTATGCACCCCTATGTTCACTGCAGCATTATTCACAATAGCCAAGACATGGAAGCAACCCAAGTGCCTGTCAACTGATGACTGGATAAAGAAGATGTGGTATATATATACAATGGAATACTACTCAGCCATAAAAAAAGACAAAATTGTCCCATTTGCAACAACATGGATGGACCTTGAGGGTATGATGTTAAGCGAAATAAGCCAGACAGAGAAAGACAAATACTACATGATTTC